GCCGTAAGATTAATATGCGATCGGACCGGTTAATGCCGGAGAATCTAGACCAGTCCGCGATGCGATCTATCCAATCAGATTGCTCGATTTGCTAGTGTCCAGGCTCTAAGATTCACGGTCATATAATAAATAGTTACACTTGATTGCAGAAACGTTGTAGTATACATTTATACGAATACCTAATTTATTCAGTATATTTAATGATATGTAAAACAGAAAACTCGCTTTATTTATTATTTGTTTCATTCAATGAACGTCAAAATATTTTATTCCTGTGTTTTATATCCTACGGATTATAAATCAATTGGTTTTGAGGGTTAAAAAAGTAAAATTGCAATATGCATCTCATTAGGTATTTGTATAAATGTATAAATGTATACTACAACGTTTCTGCAATCGAGTGTATAAACACACATACGGCATGATCAGAACGTGGCATTGAACTAAGTGTAGTACAACATCGCTGCCAATTTCTTTTCAGAGGCTTTTATCAAAAAAAAACAAAAAAAAACCAGCAAAATTAACGACAATAATGATAGCTTTATAATTATGAATATAAAGTTGACTCAACAACCTTTAAATAGTTTAATATTTTCCTTATCTTTCGACCGAAAATCTGTCACAACTGAAGTGTTAATGTGCAGACGTAAATCCTTATCCTGACGAGTTTGTTTTGAATCATTTCGAATTATTTCGATTTTTACACTATACCCAGTACCGTCGCTTTCACCTAAGCGGAAACACTTCTAAAGAAAACCACCCCCAATTAGTGGCGGTTTTCTTAGAAGTGTTTCCGCTTAGGTGAAAGCGACGGTATTTCCTTTTAATAAAAAATGCAAAAAAGGTTTTTACAATGTCAATGTCTCTTAGATTTTCCCTTAAGAAGACGATTTGGTCTTTCAGTAGCTTCAATGAGTCAGAATCGGGCGTAGTATTCGCCATTGCAGCACATTGCAGCAAGTGCCGAAATCAAAGATTTCCCGCGCGAAGCAAAGAAAATTGACAGCTTGATAAAGTCACGCAAAGGGCACTGAGTATTAAAATACGTCTATAATTTCATGTCACTCTCATGTAAATTCGAAGACTGCGAATTGTTCTTTTATCTCTATAAAGCTATCATCCACTGTAAGTCATGTAATAAGCTAAGGCACAGAAGAGCGCGCGCGGTATTTGACGGGCTCAAGTTTATTCATATATTATGTATAGCGGTAAATAATATAAAACAAGATGGCGGAGCGACAAGACCATTTCGCAAACAATGAAAGATAAGTGGCCCCCCTTTGCCCCCTGTGCTTGCATCTGTGGTTCTCAATTGTAGGTTCCGTTATCCTTGGGTAGCAAGCCAAAGAGGCTGGGTTTGGGAGCGGTGGCCTCGTTATCGATCGCGTTGTCTCGATCTCGCGACTCTCGTAAGGGATGAGGGCAGAACAATTGTCATCTCACGGTACCCGTTTTAGGGGGGAGGGGTGGTGTTACCAGGTACCCACCACCTCTGGAAGTGAAGTCTTAGATTTTGTCCCCAAATATCTCCAAAACTAAAAGCCAAATCACAGAAATGAATGGACTGTCTATCTGCATGTATGCTAAAAAACATTTGTGTTTAGAAATTACCACTACACACCCCCAGTATCAAGCATTTGAACATGCCTTAATTCATAAAATCGGGTCCCTATTTTGGACGATTGTTTTGACCTCGCCCCTATTAAAGTCACCTACAAAGGAGAAGCACTAGAGTGAAAGAGCCTCTGAAACCCAGGGGTAACTAACAGCGAAGCATACAAAATTATACGAGAAAAACACTGCAACATCCCGTCGCTAAGTAGTAACCAAGCACGTGACCAAGTCCCATAATTATCTATTGATTTTATTATTTTCAAATTTAGAAAAAAAGTAAGATACCCACAACTCGAGAGCCATGCCTGTAGACTAAACATGGCTACACTCGAATGACTTCGGCCCGGCCCGTCGTTAATTCCATTGACGGAAGCCAAAAGTCGGTTAGGTCGCAAAAGCAAAAAAGAAAAAGGAAAAAAAAAACGGGCTGTATTCTAATCTGCCATGTTTACATTCAAGAATGATTTGATCACCACTCAACAACTTTTTCTTCTCTGAAGAATTCACCTTGGTAACCAGACCCTTCTGGTAGAAGAGACACAAGTACTGGGGTTACCGCACCTAAAATGATACATTTATAACAATTATATGTTTATAACAATTATATTTATAACAATGATTATATTCGTTTCCCAGCGAGGTCGGAATAAAATAATAAAATAAAATCTTTAGTAAATATTGATTGCAATCTGTTGAAAAACCGTCTTTTCCGTCTTTTAGTCTGGGATAGGGTGTACAATTCTYAGTTTTAGTCTGGGGTAGGGCATGTAAAATCATAATTTTAGGTCTGGGATAGGGTCAGGGTTTTGAGGTCCTGGCGGCACACCCCTACCCAAGTTGGGGTGGTAGTACCCCCCCGGGTCCCTCCATCTCAAATTTGTTTTGCAGTTCCTGACAGAGCCTCTATGATAAAACAATACTTCTATATCATGCTAGCATGAAATCTATAAGATATTTGATTTATCGAAAAAAGAAGCTTACTATCAAATTGCCACATCGATGATAGTAAAATTGCAAAGTCTCGTAAAGATTGCTCTTAAACTGACAAAGATATGAATTTTTGAAAGGAAGTATTTTAATTTTTATGAAGACGTGCGTTAATTTTTTGCAAAAATGCTTTATTTCAGAAAATTCATATCTTCTTCAGTATAATTAAGGGCAAATCATTACCAAACTTTGCATTTTTACTAGCTATTATCAATGTGACAAATTTGATAGTACACTCTTTTTTTCAATAAACTGAGTATTTTTTATGTCACAGTATCCAGAATAGACTAGAAGCATCCCCTGAATCAGTAAATGTGAAAGGATATATTCTAACGACAGCAGCAGTGTTACGTACCTTCATCAATTGACAGTAGTGCTTTTGGTCCTGCCATGTCTGTTCTCACCCAGCCAGGACAACACTGAATCATATACACAAAAATGCAATTAAGTGATGCAATAAAGACATAAATCTCAAGATAGTTTGTGTTTTTAAAGAAGTCAGATGAAAAGGTTAGAATTTTGAATAAGATCTTTAGTTTTAAATCATTTAAAAAAAATCTTTAAGATACTTTGTTAGTTAGCTGTGCCCTGAAGTTGATCAGTCCAGAGCCAGTTGTTTCAGCATTATCAGTGAAACTTTTAAGTTTCCTCAATGTTTTAATGCTTCTTATTAAAGCAACCAGTCCTCTATTCAGTTATCTCTTCAGTTATCAAGCAGTTGCCAATATATATGTGGAAATAGTTACTAGGTACTTTTTGTTCTCTTCAATGTCATAAGGTTTTTATCAGAGTTGATCTCTAAGAGGATGAATCTCTTATTATCCAATTCTTGGGGTGCATGTTATGTCATGCTCAACATGTTAGTTGACAATAACAATAGAGCATTCATATGTGGCAACCATATGGCTCAAAATCCCTTGAGATATGATTAAAATGAAACAGACACCTAATTATTAGCTTCTCTTGTTAGATCAACCAACATGGTGTCTGTTTCATTTTAATCATATCTCAAGGGATTTTGAGCCATATGGTTGCCACACCCCAAGAATTCAATCATGGAAGGAAAGCTACTGCAGATTTGTTTGCCAATTTAGGCTGTTAGAAATGCTACTCTCATAATCCAAGGGTTTTTTATTTATTCTATATTTCTCCAAAAAATGTCCAGCTATAGACAAGGAATTTATGATCCATACACTTACACAATTAATGAGAATGTCTTCTCTTGGATCTTGTTGCATCTTTCTTGCTTGAACTTTTGTCAAGGCTACAACTGCAACTTTGGAAGTTCCATACACTAAGAAGGAAAAAAATATTATATACTTCTCAATGACATAAACTACTGCAATTTTCGAAAACCTGTGAACTCTGTGCCTCTGAGTTGCACGCTGAAATTCAGTTTTTCGCTGCCGTCAATTAAACCTAATCAGTCCGTACCTTTCATATTTTTGACTGGTGGCAGTGGAAAAAAAAACAAATTTCAGCATGCAGCTTGCATACACAGAGTTAGCATGTTTATGAAGCCATTTACAGATCTGCAGGTTAGTTGGATGTTCGTTCAATTTTTCAATTAGCTTTTAAGTTTACATATATATAATATTTATTTATTTATTTATATAATTTTTAACAATATTACACCTTTCTTATTTAAAGAATCACCGGTGATTATTATACTGTTATTGCATGCCCTTTGGCTCAAAGTTATTTTCATCTTTATAATTGGGTTTATGGGTTCGATTCCTGGACTATAGACATGATATGTGAACAGCGTTTTCTTGTTATTTGCAGAACCCTTAAGATTTGAGGGCCATGGTTCACTAGTTTCTTTCCCTATGCAAAATATTCCAATTCAGTCTGTGCATTAGCTTTGCCTTGACTTTGCATAACCAACCCAGAGGTTATTAGTAGATTTTACAAATTAATTGGTTAAATTAAAATGGTGATGTTTGTAAATTTGATTTGTTTCCTCACTTGTATTTGGCCATCCTTTTGCAACATGGTTTCCAGCCTTGACATCTCTGTTATAAAATGCAAATTCAAATCCTTCATTAATAAATACTATTTTTTTACAGTTTGATTCACATTACTTTACGCCTTTGGGTTCCAAGCTATATGTTCAGAAATTCCCAAGTTGGCGACAAATTTCTTGTGAAGTTCAGAACTTGGTTGGCTTATTTTGCAGCAAACRAACTTGATTTTCAACCATGAGCTTGCCCAGCTGGATTACCTTTGTGATATTCATTCAGGAACTTCAAATTACATCTACTAAACCAAGTTCCAAACTTCAGCGAGAAGTTCTAAAGTTCAACAAAATTAGTTTTGAAATTATTCTGAAGTAGGTCACCAACTTGGGAATTTCCAAACATAGTTCAGAACCCAAAGGTGTAAAGTAATGTGAAACGGACTGTAAGACAACAAAAAATAAACAAATGAAATGTGGCTATCAATTGAAGTGACATCTTGTTACCTCACAAATCCATCTACCAAATCTACAAGTTCTTGTTCAGTCAACGTAGGGGAAGAAAACTTTTTTTTWAATTCTTCACTGGGTAATACTTTGAGATGACCAGCCCCAGATGCAATGTTAACTACTCTGAATGACAAGAAAATAAAGCCATTTGATTCAACTGACACCTTGTTACCTCACAAATCCATCTACCAAATCTACAAGTTCTTGTTCAGTCAACGTAAGGGAAGAAAACTTTTTTCTTAGTTCTTCATTGGGTAATACTTTGAGATGACCAACCATAGATGCAATGTTAACTACTCTGAATGACAAGAAAATAAAGCCATTTGATCAAACTGATCTACTATGTAAAATGACAGTTTAATTATAAACTAATTTCTGTCATGATTTTCTTAAAGAATCCTAGTCAACTACAATGCATTGCACCCCTATATTATTGCTTATATTCTTTGTCTACATTGTTCTCAAAGCTCTTCCATGCACTGGTGGAGTACAATTTCTGCAAATTTGATATATATGCCAAGGTCTTCAAATTCCCAAAGTTTCCTTTCTTTCATTCCACAGCAAAGAGGTTGGATTTTTCAGAGAGATTCTCTATGAAACATTATGACTTTTCAGTCATCCAATTGTTAGACATCACGACTTTTGAAATATACCTTAGATTCGTTGCTAAAATTTAAAAAAGCTCATGGAAAGCATAAAATGACTACGCATCATTATTTTATGATTTTCTTAAAACATCTAGCAGGAATAACAAGACTGATGGAACTGGATTTTCAAAATTCACCAGCAAAACCGCCATTTTGCCCRGCAGAGAAAATGGCCGATTGTTTTGATTTCGGCACACAATCCATTGTAGTTTACTAGGATTCTTTAATTCACTGTACAGTATATCCTGTAATACCTTGCATGTGGCCTCAGTAGTGGGAACAATGCATTACTGACATTGAGAGTTCCAGTAAAGTTTGTTCTTATGGTCACTTCTGCTTGTTCAGCTTGTGGAGCTGTAGATGCTTGCTGCGGTGGAAATCAATATTGACATATATATTATGTTAAGTAACATTCAAGGAAACGCACATGCATGTCATGTACATGGGAACTATATTTGTTTGACGGTTGTTGGTTGCCTGATTTTCCTGGTGGGAACTCTGCATAAATTAGTATTGAGATTAATAGTAGGTTATAACAAAATTTTCAAAATACCCCTAGAAAATACAAGAAGACTTGAAATTGGACAAATTATGAATGAATAATGAAATATTGTCATTTCCTTTGTCGAATAGATCACATATACATGGATTTTCACGTTTGACATGTCACAATAAAAGATATCTAATTTCAATTTTAATACCCTAAAATAATAATATTAATAATAATAATWAAAAAAATAATAATAATAGTAATAATAATAATATAATGGGATTAACAGTGGATTCCAAAGAGTGTTGACTCTTCTTCCACTGGATTCCAATTGGAATGTGTAGTTCCAAAAATTATCCATACCCTCTCACGGACGAATTTTTTTAAGACACCCCCCTACCCCCCGGAAATTCCAATTATCTTCCATACAAACTCTGTAATTTTTGTTCTTTCTCTGACCCCCCTACTCTTCAGAAATTCCAAATTCCTCTGTGGGGTGGGTATGGATGATTTCTGGAACTACACAATTTAGAAGTTGATTTTTGCGGAGGGAGGAAAACCAGAGAACCTGGAAAACCCTCGAAGCACAGGAGAGAACCAACAAACAACTCTACTCACATACCACGCTGAACCTGGCGGGACTCAAACTCAGGTTGCATTGATGAGAGGACTCAAACCAAACTCAAACTAATTCTAACCCCTAAAGGATACCAAGCATCCTTGCTACTATTAGTCAGGAGCCATGACCACCCTTGGAATTAATGTAATATATTGGTGCGAATTTATTGTTTTCCACAGCTACGGCAATACATGTACACACCTTATATGCAATACCAGCATTATTGACTAGAAGATCCAAACCTCCAAATGTTTTTTGAAGGTGTTCTTTAAATCTTTGAATGCTTTCATCTGATGTGATATCAAGCTGGTGAAATGATGGGCTCAATCCTTCTCCTTTGAGATCATCAACTGCCTTTTTCCCTAGCTCCTCATTGCGGGCTGCAAAAATATATTAAAAGACTGCTACAGTAGATACTCTATTTTAAGTAAATTAAGATAAAAATAAATACTCTATTTTGAATTAAAATCATTAAAATTATGAAAATTATAAAAGAAATGATTAAATTATTTAAATTGTTACAATCTAGTGATTTCCCTCCAGAAGATCTGCTAGTTATAGATTGTTATTTTCAACTTTTTCTCACGATTTTCCAATGAAGAAATAAAAAAACTTTCTTGCTGTGCTGTGTGCAGTTATAAAGTACTTGGGGATAGGCAGAACACTCGAGAAAAGAAGCACTCCGCATATTTTTTATGAAATACAAATTACAATACAATAGGAATGACACAACGGAAAGTGCGCGCGCGTGCAATGTGCTCTCATAAAGCACATGCTCCAAACCAATCAGAACGCAACATTCATAACAGTTATTTTATAATATCCTGTACAGGAGTGAATTTAGTGGAGGGTTGCATGGGGTGCACACAACCCTAGAAGAACTAATATCCTAGTACTAGTACTACTAGTAGTGCTTGAGTTTGTGAGCATCCTAGTGATTATTTATAAAGGGTCTACCCTCTCCTAAAAAATTCTGGATCTGACCCTGAGCTGCTGCATGTTTATAAATCAATTTCAAAACACAAATGCAATTCTTATCTTAATGCTTCATTAAAATAATTACAAAAAATATAATTTACAAAGTTAATGGTAAATAATCTTACCAGTTAAGATTACTGTCCCATCAAACTTCTTACAGAGAGATCGTACAATAGCAAAACCAACACCCTTGTTAGATCCGGTAACCTAATAATGATAAATTAGGACTAACTTTTTTCCCATTTCAGTAGAAAGTCTGTCATGGGATTTTGACTGCAAAACTTGGGGAAATTTTTGCAACAATAACTAATTTTTTCAAGACTTCCCTGAACCTTGGAGAACTGGAGGGACACAAAGTCTCTTTGCAACATGTGATCAGATATTACTTATTGAAACCAAATGCTCCCTGATAAAACAATTAATGTTGGAACAAATCACC